AATACTATAAAGCTATTAAAAAATATTATAATTGAGATATGTGGAATTAAAATACAATACAAACCAATTGATATACCAAAGAAAGATAATTCTACGATTGTTATAGAATTATAGTGTTTTGTCTCCCTAAAAAAACAATATGACTAATTGAAAATGCTATAACTTACTATATAAGGGTTTTGAATTGATCAAAAAGATTATAAATTAAGTTCTAACCTCATAAATTAATTATAAAATTATTAAAACATAGAATAAAAAAACTTGATTTTGTTAGGAACGAGTCGGTACTAAGAGGGAGGGGGGGAAGGGGGTGAATTAGTGCAGCAATAAAAACATCGATTTGAAAAATTCTTGTACGATTAAAATCAATCTCGGAAAGATGCTTAACTTTGAAACATTTACAAAAATGTCATGACCAAATAAAGTAAGTAAATCAGTTTACAATATGAGAATTAAAAGTAGAACAAAGATGCAAACCGATTTTATAGTGGTTCGGTCATCGTGACCTACATCCACTCCACCGATTCTCCTTCTGTCGAGGCCATCGGCATCCACTAATGATCTTCTTTCAATGGGCGAAGATCAACTACTATTTTACAACCCTCTTCTCATTTTCACAAGTTTAGGAGACAACATTTACACCTTCTTCACTCCTCTTTAAAACTATACTAACACTTAGAGTTTTTTAGATGAGTTCTCACAATATTATAACAGAGTTTTTCTACTTTTTTTCACTCAATTCTTGTGTATATTAACCAGGAATGAGAGAGGTATTTACAGGCCTCAAGATGATTCAAACTTGGAGCCTAAAAATGTCTCATTTTAGGTTTCTCGGGTCTTGGCGGTATCACCGCTTGTGCTGGGCGATACCATCACTTGGGAGACTATGTTTAGGTGGTACTACTGCCTGACAGTCTCGAAGACTATGTCACGATGGTTCCACCTGTTAGGTCAGGTAAGTATTATATAGAAACGAATAGAAAGGAGCACAAAGAATTGACACAAGAAGAGATGATCAACGAGAGAAATGACACTCACTTCATAGATAAAACGATCGACGAGAGAAGATCGGTGAGTATTCGACGGTTGACGGAAGCTAGGGCACAAGAGGAGAAAATTATCGATGAGAGTTAAGGCACAAGAAGAGAGGAAATAGTTGGGCTTAGGGGTATGAGAGAAGAGGAAATAACAATGAGAGTTTAGGGTTTAGAGTGTAATCGGTGTGAAAATAACCAGAAGCCTCAAAATCGTTGAAAATAGTTGACGGCATGGCAAGCGAAGGGACGCAAGAGGAAGAGGAGAAGGCGCATGTGTCTACTTTAGAAGTTGAACACAAAGAAGAGGACATGAAAGCGTAGGTCTAATTCAGATCAAAGTGATAAAAGAGTAAAGATCTGTCTTATATGATTACCTCCAAAACTAGCATCAGCTACATTTAATTAGTGAGAGACATTAGAGAGTATTAAAAGAAATAGACGGTACCAAATGATAAAAAAATGTAAAAACTAGAAGCACCTTCCAACAAAAGCCTAAAAAGATAGATAGATAGATAGATATTTTCAGTAAATTTATCCTTATATATTAAATATCATATTTTCCAAATCATACAAAATAATTCATCTATATATTGAAATTAATTTCACTTCAAACTCGACTTATATAACATACTCGAAGTTAAACCCTATTATAGTTGTTCATAGTAATAATAAAATAGATTACTATTTATAATCTTCTTCTTTTTTTTTTTATCATTTATAACCCTATTTTTAAAAATGTAAATATTCCTGAATTATCCGCGTATATGACCCTCAATTTAGAACTTAAAAATATTTTAACCATAAGATACGTCAATATCAATCCATAGAATCAAGTGATATATCATGAGGATTACTAACTCGTGCATCACGAGATGAGATTAGTGTTACATAATACATAATTTTCCCACAATGAATCAATGTTCTTATACTATTTCTTCTTATATTTAACACTCCTCTCATCTCAGCACGTACGTGACAGTAGATAAAGAGATTATGACACTCTCTCTGCATGTATTGTAACTATTGTGAGCCCCTATCTATCTAGATGGTATGATTCAAGAATAGTAATCACACTTCAAGCATAAAAAAAATGATAAATGACATCGGATGATATAATCTTACATCAGGTTTCAAATCACGTTAATGATAAAAAAAAAATCATAATAATTCATTAGTTGATCAATCTATAATATACTATTATTTATTTTAGTTAAATACACTTAAGTTTTAGTATTCAAGTAGTCGAGCATCACTCGTATATCTTTTAAATCAGCTCGATCTCTACATTGCTTTCAATAATATACTCTTGAGACAATTCATCTGTATATGTTTGGATAATCCTCGATTGGCGAGAGGAAAAATGCTCATAAATCTAAATCTATATAACTAATATCATTAATTACTAATCAAATTTACGTATATATTGTTAAGAATTAAAATTATAATTACACACATCCATATTTGAAATAGGACCAAGTACCCAGCAAACTAGTTAACACCAACACGAGATGTGAATCCAAGCTGTCAATACAAAAGTGTGCATATAAGTACCAAGAAATGTATAAATATTAGTGTACCACTCTTATCACAAAACAATATACATCCAAGCAGATACAATAGATATATATGCCTCCTGTGCAACATGCTGAAAATTAATATCATCCCAAGTCTGACATGTATCACATATTCTCGAATACATCGTAGGGGCCCATCTGCACTTAGTGACCACATATATATTTATATTTGACAAGCATGGTTTAAACATTTTAGTTGTCTCTACTCCCGTATAGCATAAGAAATGATTCAAAACTCTTCGATATTGATGGATCTACCGAGCCACTACGTATTTGATCTTTGCCTCATCCTCGTATGACCTTCATCTCCTTTGAGTTGGACAACCTTCAAAATCCTTATGGTTCGATCCCCCACCGTGTATCCACACCATAATTTAATAGATTTTAACAACTCTATTATCATGACAAACAAACTAATAAAAGACTTGAAAGATGTAGTGTTAAAAACACTCGAAAAATATATATATTACTAAAAATACCCAAAAGATGTAGTGTTAAAAGCACATCAAATATGTATATTTCAGATAAAATTGAAAGAGCTCAAAAGATATATCTTTTGGGTAGTTTTAATAATGTTTAGAATATAAGTGCTTCAGAGTATCATAAAATAGACTTGAAAGATGTATATTTTAGATTATTTTTCCTCTTAGAATCGACCCTCCCTAGAATTTGAATGACATGGCTCATGGGCCTACGAAGGTCGAGTGTCAGATAGTTGAAGAGACATTGGAGGGGGCGGCAATCGGTGTCGGATAAGGTTGGTAATGATAGAGGGGGGAGCATCGACAATAGGGACCATGGGTTGAGAGTAACAAGTGATAGGGAGAGTCGATAGCGGCAGTGATAGTGTGCACATTAGCAAGGAGCAATGATCAACAGCAACAATAGGTGGTGAGGAGATTCGACAATGACAATGTGCGTGCATAGGTGACAAGGAGTAGTAAGGAATAGGTTGAAGGTAGCAATTGACGACAAAGAGCAATGATCAATGGTAATGAGTGATGGGAATAGTCGTCAACAATAACATGCATAACGACAGGGTCGATGATTAATAATAGCGAGCGATAAGAAGAGTCAGTTATAATAGCGAGCGGTGGAGAGAGAGTCAGTGATAGCAACATGCATAGGTGATAGGGAACAGTGATGGATAGGCTAGGGTCGATGATCAGTGGGGGAGCAGTAATCGATGACACCGATTGGTAGAGATAGTCGACAACAATAGCTTGCACAACAATAGGGAATAGTGATTAGTGGCAATGGATAGTAGGGAGAGTCGACAATAATAACATGTGCATGTGAAAGGGAGCCGTAGGAGATAGACAATGGGCGATAATCGAAGTCAACAACCGGGAGAGTGAGCAGTGGTAGGCTATGCAAGCGGAGCTATAGGGAAGGAAAAAAAATATAAAAGAGAAGGATAAAAGTGAAATTTGAAGGATTATAAATAATAAAATATTATTTTATTGATTTTCTAAGGAACTATGAATAATAAAGGGTTATGAATAGTAACCTCCATAATAAATTATGCATTCAAATTATTATTATTATTATTATTATTATTACTTAAAAATGATATTAATATACTTGAAATAAATTTGAGAGTGAGAGAGATATGCTTATTTATGTGATGTATTATTATTAATAGTTTTAGAGCAAATTCGACTCTTCTTGCCCACCTTCTCGATGAAGGGATTCCGAGTCCTCCCTCCCCAAATTTTCTGGATTTTCTTCTCACCAGCATTGCTTCTTCGTAACTCCTCCCGATTTCTAACACAATTCTCACGGATTTCGTGATTGTTCGACGAAATTAGAGCGAAAGGGGAAGCTTTGTGTAGGATTCGGCCTCCGGATCTCGTAATTTCTCTGAATTTTTACTGTGGATTTTGGTAGCAAGCTGGTGCTTTTCAGAGCTTAAATCCTGGCTAAAAACTGACCCTTTATTTCTCTTTTTCGTGGTCGTGTGCTCGTTCTGTGCGAACCGGAAGAATTTTTTAGCCTGGGGGGGTTTTAGAGGTTTCTTAGATTTTCTCATCCTCGTTAGGATTTTGTATGCATTTAATCAAAGGTTTCTTAGTTGCAATTTTTTGTTGTGCGGTCTTCTTCTTCGTTTTGGCACCCCAACTGTTGGTTTTCAGAAAACAATTGATAAGATTATTCATAAAACACCGAGCTGTGGATCCATGGAAACATCAAGCAAGATTCAAAAGAGACGCTTTGGGCACTCTTAAACCTCTCCAAGTTTCGATTGTATTTAGTTGGCATGTCCTGGTTATTGATGGATCAACAGTCCCACTTGATGCAATAGCAAGGTTGCACCCCCTTTGTGATCCACATTCTTTTGATACATCATCTGCTTTGACCAAAAGATTCAGATCATATTCATAAAATAGAAGCAAACGAGTCTTTTCGAAGGTCTAATTGAATACCAAAAATACAACTTTGGTGTGTCATTCCATAATGATAAAAAAAAAAAAAGGATAACAACAAAGAATGAAGCCTTAAGCAGGAACCTGTTTTTCCATTACCAGTTTTATTACCATTGCTTTGAATGCTGTTGCATGGTAAATATGGTTGGTGTCATCAAACCAACGCAATTTTCATCAAAATACAAGCACTTCTCATCAAACCAACGCACTTTTCCATCATGATGATGACGTGAAAAGAGCTTTAGATATTTTGCATACCATGCATCATAAAAGTTTAATCCTCCACATGTTTGATGCATATGAATGTGAATCTACATAAAACAATGACAATGTTTGGGGGGGGGGGGGGGGGGGGGGGGGGGGGGGGGGGGGGCCCCCCCCCTTTTTTCCCCCCTCTTT